GCACCACAACCCACACGCCGCCGCCAACAACTTCTAGTTCCTCCTACAATGTGCACGGTTTGTCAGACCAGGATATTCCGTATTGTGACATCAGTCCAGTGCAACACCTGCCTTGGCTGGTGCCACTTTAGGGCATGTTCAGGTCTGCGCACCACGCGAGATTGGACGAGGAACTTCGAGGGCCCATGTCGCGCTGCCCGATCGCAAACCCCAACTGCTACGCCTCCCACTACCACCACAGGGCGGCAACCTCCACAGCAGCGCACACAGCCAATGGCGGTAAGGCCACACACATCCCTCACACTCCGCATAACTACACGTCTCCCGAACCACATGAAGCTCCTTCAATTAAACTGTAACAGACTTCAGAGTAAGATCGAGGAGATAACCGTCTTCATGGGAAGGCATGGTATATTGATAGCTGCGGTCCAAGAGACGAAGTTGCACCGTCGAGATCGCGAGCGAGATAATGGTAGTGGCTTAGCGTTCATCACGCCCCACAGGGTGCAGTATCGTCTTATTGAAGCAGACATCGGCCGCAGGGATACCACCCTAGAATTTCAGGGCATTGCTATCCGGTCAGGCGATTTTGAGCTCGAAATATTTAATTTATAAAAACCCCCTGTCCTTGCTGCTCGACAGGATACCCCCTGACATAGGTGCGCTCCTCAGAGGTGAAAACCGTATGGTAGTAGGTGACTTCAATACGCATCACGATCTTTGGCATTCAAGCCTGTCAAACGATCGTAGGGGAGCAGACTTAGCTGAGCAGATAGACGATTCGACATTCGACATTCTGCTCAATGAACGACGGCGCACCCACCAGGATTATGGGCAGGTGCTGCAGCTCACCAGACAACAATAGTCAGCGCTGGTCTGATAAACAGCGTATCATGGCGAGCTATGCTGACTTTGGCATCAGACCATCTGCCCATAGTCATCTTGATAGATAAACCAACCGAATTTGCCTCCGCGAAATACCTGACCTATATCAACTTTTCTAAAGCTGATTAGAAAGGCTACGCGGAATTTACTGAGAGCACCTTCGGTGCGCTCCCCACACCAACCGACGTCCACCTTGGTGAACGTAAGTTTCTCAGGGTTGTCACTGCTGCTGCAGCTCGCTTCGGATGCATAACGGAGCCACGTCCAAATTTCCCTACTGAAGCGGCTGTTCTAGCCGATGAGCGTGACGGCCTCCTACTGGCCGATCCCGGAAATCCTCATATCAGGGATCTCAACGCGGAGATTCGGCAACAAGTGAACGTACATAAGCGGAGGAAGTGGGAAGAGCATCTGAAGACCCTTAACTTCACCTCTGGTGTGAGTAAGCTTTGATCGACCGTGAGGTCACTGTCCAATCCAACGAAGGACGACGACAGGGTCGAAATTTCTTTCGGCGGCCATGCTTCGTCGGACCCGGAGCGATGCGCAAGCTATTTTAGCCGGCAGTTCATACTGCATCCTCCGATGGACAAAGCCAAGCGTCGAGTGACCAGGGCTGCACAACCTGCCAACAACCTGTGCGGTGAAGTTCAGGTGGCCATGGGTCCCGACAGAATATGCATGCTGATGCTGGAAAATTTGGGTCCCACGGGAGTAGCGTACCTTACGGAGGTCCTCAATATGTCTATGGCCCCTCTCATCATCCCAGACATCTGGAAGGTGGGGAGAGTGGTCCCACCGCTCAACCCGGGGAAACCACCCAACAAAGAAGAATCTTATCGATCGATAACACTCCTTTCCCCGGTAGCGAAGACACTAGAGACCTTGCTGCTCCGTATTTCACAAACCACCTGACCCCAGCGCAGCATCAGCATGGTTTCCGTAAAATGCACAGTACAACAACAGCACTTAACGCCATAAACATTCAGATAACTCGTGGCCTTAACCGTAACCGTCCCTGTGAGAGAACTATTCTATGTAGTAGCGTTGGACCTGTCAAAAGTGTTCCACGCTACTAGAAGATATAGAGGCTTCCTCTCTCCCACAGAGGCTCAAAAGATGGTCGGCGAATTATCTGAGGTCGACATTCGTCGGTAATGTTTAGAGACAAATCGAGCAAACTTAGAAAAATTAAACAGGTGGTTCCAAGGGGGGGTTGCTTTCCCCGCTACTGTTTATTTCATTTATTTATTTAATGTCTAAAGTTGTAAGTGGTACAGACATGAAAAATTACAAGCTATGTAGTTAAATTTTTGGTACAATTTGAAGCGTTAAATGAACTAAGAGTAAATACATTAATGGCTAATCTAAATTTTTGCACAATAAATAGTTTTTTCAATTTAGTATAGATAATTGATTTTGATTCCGACAAGTTAAGATCCAAAAATTTTGAGAAACAGTTGTACTCAGTCAAAGCCCTGACAATGGGGGCATTTGCATTGTAAACTGTTTTATTTAAACCAATACGAAAAGTATCAAAGCGACGAAGGTTTCTACTCGGCACGGTGAAATCTATCAACCCAAGAAGGGACGAGCAGTCGACTTTACCCAAGACAATGTCAAGAAGAAATGACACGGACAGTAGTGAGCGTCTATTGTTTAATGTTAATAAACTAATCAATTGGCAACGCGACTCGTAAGGTGGAAGCGGTTCAGAAAAATGTAGTGTGCAGAGCAAAGCGTAGGAATATTTTTTGCACTCTCCAAACGATTGATGTGAATAGCGTGATACGGTCTCCAGATAAACGCTCCCTCAAACCCAAGAGGGAGTCTCGATTGTCTCCTGCGCCGACGATTGCTCGATCATGGCGACTGGGAATGGAATTGATGACTTGTGTTCGAAAGTAAACGGGTGTCCCTGCAAGCTTTCTCGCTTCTTCAGTGCAAGGAGCCTAACCCTCTCCCCTACGAAATCCTCTGCGACCTTGTTCACCACCTGGACAAAGGAGGTCAAGCTACCGCTGGGAATTCCCGTCGATGATACACCAATTCCGACGGTGAATAACCCCAAAATACTCGGAGTAACCTTCGACCGTCTGCTCTCCTTCTCTGCGCACGCAACCGCTATTGTCAACAAAGTACAGAGCCGCAACACGGTCCTCAAGTCGCTAGCCGGAAGTACTTGGGGCAAAGATAAGGAAACGTTGCTGGCAACATACAAGGCAATAGGCTGGCCGGTTTTAAATTACGCAGCACCAGTGTGGTCGCCGGGGACTATTAGGACGCAATGGATGCAGACAACTCAGAACACCGCACTACGGACAGCGACTGTATGCCTTTTGATGTCGCTTGAACACCACTTACACGACGAGGCGGAATTGCTCCGTCAAGGAGCATAACAAGCAAGCAGTTCCTTGTCGGGAGTCATAGACGTGGTCCCCCGAATGGGCAGCTGCTTGAAGAAGAGCCCTCGCCCAGGCACGTCAGGAGGCATCTCAACGAACTGACGGACGAAGTCCAGAGGTTCATTAAACAACCTCTGGACCCGTCAGCATATCGACAGGCCCTGAACGGCATTCACTGGGAGTCAGTATCGATTTACCTGTGAATGCCGTTCTAGGCGCACAACCACCGGACATAGACGAGACGGAGCTGCATCTGCCTCGGGAGACAAAAACCACAATAGCCCAACTTCGCTCTGGCTATTGCAGCAGGTTAAACTCATACGTGAGCAGACTAAACGCGGATGTGCCGAATGAGTGTCCGGCATGCGGAGAGACACCTCATGACTCGAAGCATCTCTTCGTATGCCCGGAAGACCCAACAACCCTAACGCCTTTGTTCCTGCGGACCGACCCTATAGAGGCTGCACTCTTCTTAGGGCTGCCGTTAGTGGAACTTGACGACATCGACAGCTATTAACCGATCTGGGGGAATTGTTGTAGCCGCTACAACAACAACAGCAATTAAAAAGCTGATCGGTGTATTTGCAAATTGAAAATATTTGGCGCGATTTTTTGTTTATTCATTTTGACAGCTGCTAGTTCTTAGAGTAAAAATATTACTAGCAGAAATTAGCAGGAGGGCCAAAGAAAAGTAGAGAGTTAGAACGAGAGAGAGTTGCTAGTTTTTTTGGGTTAATTAACGCTTTCCAGCAGCATTCGAGTATTCTCAATTGCCTCTAGCAGCGACGCAATGCCATCCATAATAATCGAGCCATTTTTTTAATTATACATTACTTAAATTTATACATGACTTAAATGGAATATTTTTAATTGTTTTTAGGAAAGTGAAGCGCGAATAAACTTTCTAAGGAAGAAGTCTGGTTTGCCAGAGCGTCGCAATAGTAACATTCAAGAAAGCTTGGGATTATCTACTAAAGATGATATCAGCGCTGATCCGCAACACGTAAATTTATTCGCTGATTATAGATCACATATTAAAACTACAAATAAAGCATTAGAAGAAGAAAAAAAGGAAGAGCGAGAGAAATATGAAAAGCAAATTGGCTACCTAACATATTTAGGACAAGACACAAATGAGTCGTTAAAATTGCGAAGCTGGTACGAGGTGGCACCACAAAGAGAAAAAGTCGGCGAAGTCAATACCCTCGAAAAGGATTTAAAAAAACAAAGAATCTCAAGACCCTCTGACACTTATTAATGCATTATTACCCAGCGACCAGTTGAAGACTGAAAGGCCTACTATATCCAAATTTTCGTTAGAAAAAAATGAACCATCAACGTACCCTCTCCTAAGTGGGAAGAAAATAAAAAAAAATTATCAAAAAGAGGAAAAACGGAAGTTTCGCAAAGAAAAGAAGCATAAGAAACGTAAACACAAACATAAAAAAGACGAAGCTAAAAAGGATAAGCGGTGCCTTAGCACAGAAAGTGAAAGTGATTCGGAGGAACGGCAACGGCTTAAGCGCGAAAAAATAGAAAAACTTCGAAAGGAACGACTACAGCGAGAGGCTACTGAACGGGCACGTCAAGAAGCACTTCTAACACCAAAGAATAGTACGCAAGAATTGAATACAAAAGAAGCTCCCGCTACACGAATTGTACAAAAGTACAATAGCCAATTCAACCCCGAAATAGCAAAACAAAATATTATTTAATTTGTATATACCTTGCAAAGTTATTTTATTTGTGCATATAATACATATTCATTCCGGTGTAGACCAAAGTTGATATTTAAGCATTCTTTGCGCAACGGAAGCCCAAGTTTCCGGATGAACTATCTGCAGTGTTTTGGGAACGAGCAGCACACCGATATCGAAAGCAATAGGATTCATGACATAAGTAGGAACCACCTTTCTTTACACGCTGAGCATTCGGACCAACCTCATCTTTTTGCCAGCTGTCTTGTGTCCATTCCCAAACATTTCCCACAATGTTATAAATATCATAGTCGTTTTGACGGAATTCGCTGACAGGACAGGTTATGCCATAGCCATCGGCCGCAGTGTTATCATCTGGGAATTCGCCTTGCCAAATATTCAACCTATATCATAAATTCCCGTGGAAATCAAATAATAGTACAATTTTTGACATACCAATGTTTGCCGCGTGGTGATAATTTATTTCCCCAAGGAAAGAGTTTGCGTTTCTTTCCCCCTCGACATGCAACCTCCCACTCTGCTTCTGTGGGCAACCGTTTTCCTGCCCAGTTGCAATAAGCTACCGCATCATTCCAGGACACATGAACAACAGGATGATCCAAAAAATCTTAATTGAAAAATAAGAAAATATAAGCAGAGGTGTCAATCTAAGCCAAATGCTTGAAAAAGCTTATTTTGCATATATCTGGCAATTTTGTTGGTTCTTAATTTTCTTCTTCGGACAACATATTAACTATCGTACAGTGCTTATTTTGTGGATAGGAAATTGATCGATCCTTCAAGTGGTTTTGATTAATTACACCAGGCTGAGGTTCAAATACCCAATTGGCTAAATCTCGCAAAATAATCTCTTGTGGCACTAATCATAATTTTTGAGTCTGGCGAGAGTTCTCGCCTTTCTCTAACGCGCAAGAGAAAACTGAAATACATAATCAGATTCTCTGAAACGCACATTTATCGAGAGTTTAAAATAATTTTCCGTTCCCTCAGTTCCTCCATCAGGATTTTTTTAAGTTTTCCAGCAATTTAAAATTATACAAAATTGGAAATAAAGAAATGAAATTGTTCAAAATTATTGTTGTTTACTTTTACTTTTACAGTTTTACTTTTTATCATAATTTCTCAATGTAAAGCTTGAAAAACCTTTCCGCGCTAATATGTACATACTTTTATATCAAATGATTCTTAAATCTGAAATGTTTGTTCAAAGTTTCAGATCGATCACTTTAATCTGATATATGAATTGTCTCTATACGTTTATCCATAAATATATATATGGACAAATCTAAAAAATAGGTACACTTTCAAAAAAAAAAAAATTTAATTTTTAAATTTGTGAGCACACCTATGTTTTATATATCATTTTACTCGTAATATCTTAATAAATCGATTAATATAAGTGTAATTCATTTTCGTCAAGTGCTTCAAAAGTTAGCCGAGGAATAAACATGAAATATAAAACAAAAGAATAAGCGGGGTGCAAATTACGCTGTTCAAGTTGTAAACTTTGAGCAAAGATTTTGAAAGTTGAACTCACTTAATTACCAGATTGGCTCCGGTTTTCGAGATAACGGTACTTGAAAATATGATTAAATTTTAACTATTTTATAAATAACTCCCTCAGTCTTGAAGTTATTTTACTAAAATTTGGTAAATAACAGTTTTTTAATATTACCTTAATTATTTCTTAAAATTATCGAAATAGGTTCACATCAACATATAGCTCCAATGCAACTGATTACTCAGATATGTGTTTTTGCACTATAACTCGAACTTCATATCTGAATAATAAATTGTATGCGTGCTATATGTTAAATTGAACCCATACTAAATTTTAACCTGTTTAATTGGAGGAGTTATAACGCAAAACAACGTCTCTGATCAATCAGTTGTAAGTGAGCTAGATGCTTTAGTCAACCGATTTCGATGATTGTATGGAATAGTTAAGGTAATATTAAAAACCGGTTATGTGCAAAATTTTAGTAAAATATCTTCAAAACTCAGGGACTTTTTTATAAAATAATTAAAATTTAAGCAAAGTTTCAAGTACCGCTATCTCGAAAACTGGAGCCAATAGTGTAAAACTGAGGACGCCATTGATTTTGGAAGGCTCCAATTAAGTAAGAGCAACTATCAGAACATTTGTCGAAAAAAATTTGTTTGATACCACTCGAAATATTCTGACTAAAAGAAGGAGCATCATTAAATATAGTAAATCAGGGTTTTTACACACTTCTAGAGACAATTTTTTTGAAGCATTGTACAGGTATATGTAATTTTATAAGAACTAGCAGTTATAGAAAGATTTATATCGACGTATTTTCCAAATGTGCCTTCAATTAAGGAGTTTTTGGTATAAAAATTACGCTCAAGATCGCAGAATATTTTATCTTTAAAAGTTGTTTTTTCTGAAAGCACACCTCTTGCTAAGGTATCAAATTATTCGTTATTGTTTGTAGAATACAACACATACTTAAGAAGTTCTTAGAATTAAATGCTTCAAAACCTATACGCGATAAACCAAAAATTTTGAAAATTGTGAAATGACTTTGGGTTACTTACCATTTCGTCATTTTTTAAGGCACATTTTCATTACCTACTACATATGAAGTGTACACATAAGTGCTAAATGCCCATTTAATTTCAAATCGGAATATGGTGTGCTTCAAAAGATATGACATAATTAATTGTGCGCCTCTTAAAAATTACATAAAAAATTCACTTGTTTTCATAATTTTTTTTTTTAATTTAAACACCCATAATTCAAAAGTTATGCAGCAAATTGCTCCACATTTTTTTTGAGGCTTCAAGTATATGTCAATGAATTGTATCCAAAAGCAATCAGCTGGATTTAGTTTACAACAGTGAAAATAAAGCTAAACACAAAGGTTACCTGTTTTTTAGATTTGCGCATATATGTAGATTTTTTAATACATCATATATGTAATACTTCTATATTGGCAGTAAGCTAACTTCACAATGTGTAAGCATTCCGAAATCAAAGCGAGACAGTCTAGTACCGTTTTTGTCAATGAATTGTGTACTTGAGTGCCGTTTTTGTATATGTGTTGTGTACATGTTTATTTATAAACGTATGTGTTCCTTTTCTTTCGTACGTGTTTATTGATATATCTGTACTGTAGTGTTTTCGGACGGTACTAGCCATGATAAAAACATAACAAGGTAAAACCATTGAGGGGCAGTCTGACGTTTGCCAACAATATAATTTTAAAATCAAAACTCAAACTCACATACACATTCTCATTTTCAATCTCAAACAACAATTGTGAACAATTTAATTTTTTTATTTTCAATTTTATATGATTTTAAAATGTTGGCAAACGTCAGAAAAAAATCATGGCCGACGAATCGAGAGAATGAATTTACCTTGTAATGTTTTTATCATGGTACTAGCTCTTACTGCCAATATAGGAGTATTACATATATGTAATACATATAGAACCATATTTGTCTCATTAGAGAAAAAAACGTCAAAATAAACTATGTAAGATTTACATATATATGGATGTGTGTACAGAGCCAAAAGCAATATTTTTGTTTTGCAGATCTTCCGCTGCCTACATTCGCACGAACGTAGCAATGCTTGCTCGATATGAAACAAAAACGGACGAAAACGAATTAATGGAACATCCGATAGATACAGCCAGTGTTGCCAGGTTGCCGATTTGGTCGTCATTTTGAAGATCTTTTACGGCCATGACGATTTGACGATTTTTTTGCCCCATTGGCGATTTTTCTTTATGTGCAAGTTTGGTTGGTTCTCAACTTTGAAGATAGTTACACAGACAACTAAAAATTGCAGTGTAAACACTACCATTTCTGATAATACACAATTGTGTATCCAAATTATATCATCTGGTAGCACTAACAGTAGTTGTCGATACCCAATAAACATTTAGGTTTGAGCTCAACTTGAGGTTAAGTTGAGAACTAAGGTATTTCTCAAATCTCCAACGTTGTTTCTCAACAGTATCTCAAGTGGAGGATCATAGCGTTCTCAACAAAAAGGGCATTTTTCTTTATATGAAAAAAAGGACTGTTTCTCAAGGTGAGAAAATGCTAGTTCTCAACTTGAAGTCCAATTTAATTCTCCAATTGGTCTCAAACATATCATTGAAATACTGAAATTGAAATAGTAAAATACCTTATACCTTTTTGATTGAAACGACATACATAGATGAATTTAAATATTAATTTTTAATTTTATTACTCCTTTTGTATTATGTAGTTCAGCAAAATCGTATTACAATAATTCACTTCACAGTACACAGTCCGACAGTAATTTTGCCACTTGATTCACTTGGCGTTTTATTTTCTTTCAAGATTATTTGAGGATGTTTTGAAGATTATTTACTTTTTGTTGGTAATTTTCCTCTTTATATAGCTTTAGTTTTTCACTTGATAATTAAATATTCGTTTCTCTATCACTTTTTACGTATCTGCGCGTCGGTTAGAGATGAGTTGGAGAATGATGTTGGATATCAACTTGAGAACTTTGAATTTCTCCAAGGTTGGAGAAATATTTTTTTGGTGTTTATTGGGTAAGTAGTTTTCTTCTTTGTTTCATCATTTTTGTGTAGGTTTTCGGGTGAAATTCGTGGTTTTTGCGTTGTGTACTGATACATATTTCATTGAGCGAAGGAAATTATGAATAAGTTATTTAGCGAAACTTGTAAGTATGAACAGTTTTTAATGCACATGGTAAAGTTGCAGTTTGCAAATATTTGATGTTCTCTTTACCTCAGCTGTCGAGCCAGAAGATGCTGCTTTGCAAGAAAACTCAACTCTTGAGGGAAGTTTGTTCACACGGGACTTTTTAAAAGGAAATGGTTGACCTTGGTTTGAGTTTTAACCAAACAGCGATATACATAAAAGTTTCAAAAATTAAATATAGCATTGACAATTGTACCTTAATAAAGCTAAGTATACAGTTCTCAAGAAAATCGAAAAATTCATATAAAATCACTCAAGAAATCAAACCAGTAAAAAAAAAACGCTCGTATATTTAGTCATTCAAAAAAATTTACACCAACGGCAATGTTCTTCTTCAAACAACAAAAATAATGAAACCCATTCGTGTGATTTTTCTAGAAATATATACTAGATAAAAACTTTGTGACAAAAACAAATGTTACATGACTTATCCAAAGTTTCACTAATCAATTTTAAATTTATCAGACTGTTAAAATTTAAAATGTTTAATTTTCCGAACAAAAGGGTCATTTTAAATTTTAACAAGCTGATAAATTTAAAATTGATTGGTGCTGCCGGGCATTAATGATCTAAAAATGAAGAAGAAAATGCGATTTTATTGCAATTAAAAATATTTTTGTTAAAAGTATGTAAATTTTAAAAATTCGTAAAGACGTTTAACTTTTTATTTTTTACGTATATCAATCAGAAAAAACCCAAAAGTGCTTCCTGGTTCTGTTTATTTAAATTTTTTATATGTTGACGGTTTTTACATGCAAATGACAATTTTTGAGAACCAAACTGACGATTTCTCACTTAATTCACCTGGCAACACTGCCTACAGCGCTGCAGCAAGAATGATAGAATACAAGATAGCGCCGTCCTGGGCGTTGA